GTCTCTGATTTTTCGCTCGAGAATTTTTTCGTTAAATAGTTTTGCTATCATTTCTTCCACCTTTTCCCCCACTACTTTTTCCATTTTTTCAATGATTGTAATCTCATAATTGTCTCGAATATTTTCTTCAGCTTTTTCTTCAATGTTTTCGACACTTCCACTTCCAGTGTCAAGTTTTTCTGCTTGAACTGTGTTACTACATTCTCCGCAATTAGCATACACATGTTTCCCCACTCGTTCGTTCATTTTCCTCTCAACAAAGAATTCAAATATTTCTATAAAACTTCCTTCATCATGTCTCTTATGTTTTTCGTCTTTGTATTTATCGCCTCTAATCGCCTCTACATAGTCAAATAATTGTTTAACTTTCTGTGGGTCTTGGTCGTGTTTATTATCAAACAAAACACATCTGTAATTGACTCCAACAAATTTTTTATTAAACCTTTTTGTTCTCTAAGCCAGCATTGAAAGCTTATGTCCTCGTCATAGTTATCACCGTACGTGAATGCGATAATTCCACCGTTTTTAATTGATACTTTGACAAATGTTTTTATTAAATCTATTGCTTGTCTCTCTTGGTTGGTAAAGCGACATCCATATTTTAGAACTATTATAATGGCTGTAACATAATGACCACACTTCTCTAAACATTCTTGTACATTTTTCTTTATGCGTGTCGTGTCTTCATAGTCTGTATCATAGATGCTGACACCGTCTACTATTGTAACCTTTTGACCCTGGTATTCAATGATTTCTGTTTTACATTCATTCACTTCTGATTCCCCAAAGCCTCCTTTTACTTTAAAATGTTCTTTTCTGCAATGTAATTCCCAGTGGCGCTGTTGCCGTTTCCAGTTCTTCCAACTATCAGCAAGACAGATTTACTTAAATGCAGATTTGACATGATGTAGCTGAAAGCAAACTAAATTTGATAGGTCTATCTATCATACAGTAACAAATATTCTTGTTTTTTAAATGTCTTTTAACTTAAACCGAAACCCTAGACCAACTCATTGCACTATGCAAATACTGTTGGTCGCGATTAAATTATATTAAAAAAATGATAACTATATAATAATCACAAAGTAAAATTTTATAATGTTCTGTGTATGATTATATATATACGAGAAATATGGCCCGTTGAGGAAGGATACAACCGGCGCTAGGTTGATAGTGCTGTCT